ATGGCAGACCACTGTGCATACTGAGCTTTTTCTTGAAGAATTTATTTTCACTGGAAAGTCAGATTTACAAAAAGAAGGAGAGGTTTTTCTTTTTTAAGGTTTATTTATTTTTATTGAAAAGTCAGGTATACAGAAAGAAGAGAGAAAGGAAGATCTTCTGTTCGCTGATTCACTCCCCCAAGTGACCACAACAACTGGAGCTGAGCCAATCTGAAGCCAGGAGCTTCTTCCAGGTCTCCCACGCAGGTGCAGGACACCAAGGTGTTGGGCCATCCTTGACTGCTTTCCCAGGCCACAAGCAGGGATTTGGATGGGAAGCAGGGCCACTGGGATTAGAATTAGCACCTGTATGGGATCCTGGTATGTGCTAGACTACTGTGCCAGGCTCAATATAAATTTTCCATCCAGGTTAACTCCGCAAGTGGCTGCAATGGCCAGAGCTGAGCCAATCCGAAGCCAGGAGCCTCTTCCAGGTCTCCCACGTGGGTGCAGGGTCCCAAGGCTTTGGGCTGTCCTCTACTGCTTTCCCAGGCCACAAGCAGGGAGCTGAAAGGGAAGTGGAGCAGCTGGGACAGGAAGCAGTGCTCACATGGATCTCTGCCTGTGCAAGGTGAAGACTTAAGCCACTAGGCTACTGTGCTGGACCCGCAGGCCTGCCTCTTAAGCTTTAAAAAAAAAAAAAGATTATTTACTTGAAAGAGCAACAGAGAGCTAGCATCACTGGGTTCATTCTTCAAATGGATGTAACAACTGGACCTGGACCAGGTGGAAGCAAGGAGCCCAAAACTCTCACCAGGGTCTCCGGTGTGCATGGCAAATCCTTGTGTCCTCTTCTGCTGCCTCCCTAGGCACGTCAACAGGGAACTGGCTTACAAGTTGGGTAAACCTGGGTACAGCACGGTAGCCTAGTGGCCGAAGTCCTTGAACGTGCTGAACTAGCCTCACACACATGGCTTTGTAAATGTGAATGCCCTGGGGTAGGTTCTCAGCAGGGAGGTAGCACCTCAGGGGCCCTGGAATTCTGGCTTCCCTTTCAATTTGGCATCTCTGGCAGCAAGAGAGCTGAGCCAGATGTGCGAGACCCTGGCATCACATTGAATTTTTCAAACCATCTGTTGAAAGTGAATTATTGTACTTTTCCTCTCCCTTTCTTATGCTGCTGTTTTCTTAGGCTTTTAAAATCCTGGGACAGGGCCTGGTGGCGTGGCCTAGCAGCTAAAGTCCTCGCCTTGAGCACGCTGGGATCTCATATGGGCACCAGTTTTGATCCTGGCAGCTCCACTTCCCATCCAGCTCCCTGCTTGTGGCCTGGGAAAACAGTTGAGGACAGCCCAAAGCCTTGGGACCCTGCACCCGCGTGGGAGACCTTGAGGAAGTTCCTGGTTCCCGGCTTGGGATCAGCGCAGCACCAGCCGTTGCAGTCACTTGGGGAGTGAATCATCGGATGGAAGATCTTCCTCTCTGTCTCTCCTCCTCTCTCTATATCTGACTTTGCAATAAAAATAATAAGCCTTTTTTTAAAATCCTGGGACAGGTGGAACTTTTGGGAGCTTTAGACTTTGCGGGAGGCATGGTAGTGCCCTGTGCCATTGCTTCCAGGGTCAGCTCCAGGTGCTGCTTTGAGTCCTGCAGGAGCAGTACCGGAAGGTGCCGGCAGGTGGCAGCCAGGGCGACACCAGCAGCCTGGCCTTGAGTGGAGAGCAGTGGCAGAATCAGCTTTGGGACTGGTCCCCAGTGACCAGGTTCCCATCCATGTGCCCAACTTAGCATAGGGCCAGTGGCCCAAACCTTGCCTCCCACCTCGTCTGGCTGCTGTTTCTCAAACAGGTGAGCATTTTAAGCTTCCTGACAACTGCCTTTAGAGGAGCTTCAAGCAGCCACACCCTGAGTGACGGTCTGTGGCTGCCTCTACCTCCAGGAACCAGCTGTAAGAATTTACATGCCACAACCTTGACTTCAGGATGCCTCGAATTTCCATCCTGACCAGGTTCTGCTTCCTGCGTCTTTCCGCCAACCTCCCCCCTTCGTTTCCACTTGTGAACCAGCAAAAATTTCACCACTCAATCCCTCTGCCATGCCCACTGTATTAGGGTCTGAGTGGAAACCAGGGAGCCTGGAGTTTGAGAAGCCCAGGGGCCAAGGTCCTCGGGCTGCCTCTTTCCGGACAGGAGCCCCCGGGGACCAGCTGGGGTCCAGGGCTTGTGTGCACAGCACCTCTTCCCTCACAGCTGCCTTGGATCCAGTTTCCTGTTGCTGGGCACTGTGGCACTGGCAGGTCTGCCCTGTGTGTCCCACAGTGTGAGGAGTGCTGGCCACTTCCCAGTTCATCCTGCACAGGAGACCTTAGGAGAACCGCTCTCCCACCTGCACCTGGCTCGGGTCCCCAGATCCTAGTCCTCCACATAGGCTGGAAGGTTGAGCAGGCAGGGGTTGAGCAGGCAGGGACAGCAGGAGGAATGTCATCCCACTATGGGCTGCTACCTTGCCTGCTCATCCTGGCTTCCACAGTCCACACCCCATGGCCGGTGAACCCCTGTGCCAGACAGAACTTGCAAGACAGCTCAGGGGTCGGGCCGCTGTCCAAGATAGCCGCAGGCCAGGGCGGAGGGAGGGCATTTGGGGGTGTGGGAAAAAGTGGGTGGGAGGCGTTTCTCTGTGTCATTTCCCAACAGTGTAGGAATTTGCATACTGGCCAATTTCCCCATCAGCTTCTTGGCTCCTAGAACCAGGAAAGCCAGAGGAGGAAAGAGCTGCACGGGGCAGCCACCTGGAGTTTGCTCCCTTGCAGTGGCCTCCTCCTCTGCGGTTTGAGCTTTGGTCTTAGGAGTGACATCCTGTCCCTACCGCCTTTACTGACAGGTCGGAGAGGGGAGCGCAGGGGTGGAGGTGGCAGCCGAGGTTCCGAGAGGGGGAAGTGAGTCGGCTTGAGTTACACAGCTTGAACCCAGGTCCCCCTTCTCTGCCGCCACCACACAGATGGAGGCATCCTCTTGTGAAATCGAGTGAGACCAGGCCTGTGGTGTCCCCTTCTGTAGGTGAGGAAATGCCGCCTGTGTCAGCTATTTAAGTGGATGTCATGGCAGGAGGTGGTGGGGAGAACTTTATAGAATTAAAACCTGAGCCAAGGGGAAGAGTTAGCTTGGACATCTGGCCTGGCAGCCTTGGAGTAGTTCTGCCTGGAAGCCAGATTGAGAAACAGGCCCCAGAGGGGGCTGGAAACATTCACGGCCAGCATGGCAAGGCCTGGCATGCTGGGAAAGCACAGGTTGCAAGCTTGGATCCCCAGGGAAGGACAGAATGGCCTGGATCCTCTCCAGAGCCTGGCACCTGCTGTAGCAGCACCCCTCCCCCAACAGTCAGCCAGCACCTGCTGCCCACTGCCCACCTGCCTGCAGAGTGGCTCTCTTGCTGCCTGCCAAATACACAGAAGCGGAAGCAGCAATTGACCAAGAATTCAACCCTGGGTAGGAAGTGAGGGTGACCTCCCAAGTCCATGGCTAGTGGGTACATGAGATGGGAGGAGGAGTGAGAGTGCCTTACTTCCCTTTCTGGATGACCCGAGGCCTCCCAGCCACGTGGCACAGAGGCAGCGTAGCATGCTGGGGCATTTCATGTCCAAGGCCCCATCCGTCCTCAGCTTTGGGGACCTGGGACCCAGTGCTCAAGGCCCTGCCCCAGTCTGTCTGCCTCTGTGGGACCTTGCCACGTGCCTGATAGTGAACTGGACAATCCGGTATTTCAGCTTTCTGCCCCATAAACACAGGAACCCATAAGTAGCCTTGTAATCTGGAGCACAGTGCTTAATGGGGAAAAAATAGTTTGTAAACAAGGCAGTGCCATGGCCTGAGGCAGCTGGAAGTGACAGGTGTGGAATGCCAGGAAGAACAGATCGGCCAAAATATTTCCATGTCCGGCCCTAGGCACAGGCTTCAAAGAGCGACCATTTAGGGTGAGGAAGGCTGGCACCATTGGCACCGCAGGTGAAGCTCACACAGGCACTGGCTCGCATCCCGGCTGCTCCACTTCCCATTCAGTTACCTGCGGTGCTGATGCACCTGGGAAAGCATCGGAGGATGGTCCAAGTGCTTGGGTCCCTGCCCACCCAACTGTGGGAGCCCTGGGTAGATTTCCAGGCTCCTGCCCAGCTCAACTCTGGCTGTTGCAGCCATTGGGGAAAATGAACCAAGGGATGGAGGAGTCTGTGCCTCTCCTTGTCACTTTTTCAAAGAAATAAAAATCCTTAAAAAAAAAAAAAAGCCTTCTTGTTTTTTCCTAAAGTCCTTTCCCATTTTCCCCTGCTGATTGTGTATAGGGAGTATCAGATAGCCCAGCTGGTCACCTAAAAAGACTTGACATGTTCACCCTATTTTTTCATGGGTGTGGGATGTGTATTCCTGCTGCTCTCTTTGTGGGCTGGATAAGCTCAGGATGCTGGCTGCAGGGGAAACCCTGGTGAACAGATGAACGGAGCTTGCAGGGGATTGCCCAAGACCTCTTAAAGGAGCCTTACTCTGGGGGTCAGGTCCCACCCCAGGCAGCAGATCCTCCCTCCACAAATGAGGACACAGCTCCAGGGAGGGCAGTCACTTTCCCCTGGTGACAGCCAACAGCAAAGCCAGTTGGTGAGGGCTCTTCATCTTCTTGGAGGGGACCCTGGCCTACCTGGTGAGCTGGGACCTGGGAGAACAGGGCCAGAGCTGAGTCCTGAAGACTTGTCTCCCCATCCTTCTAGCCCAATTCCTGGGAGGCCATCTCTCCGGCTGGGTACTTTCCCAGCCTCAGCGCTGGCCACAGCCCAGAAAAGGGGAACAGCCCCACAACCTGGCACACAGCCCTTTCACACTTCTGCTTCCTGGCCCGGGCCCCACCCCCCACCCAGGTCTGCAGCAGCCTCCCATCAAGGCACAGTCCCAGCCCTGCAGGGCCTGCACAGGCCTGGTGAGAGCTGGGACCCCACCTTGTTCCCGGGGCGAAGGCAGAGCCACAGTCACCTCTGGAAATGGCTTGGGCTATATACTTTATTCTGATGTTTTTGGAGGGAGGGCTTTCCACTTAGAACACGGGAGACTGACACCTGTGCGTAGGCAGAGGCACGTTCTCATGCTCTTGGGGATGGAGGGGTGAGAGGAGAGGGTCAGGGGACAGGGACCCCGACCCCCGGGGCGGGTGCACAGAGTGGGGCAGAAGGGAGGTTATTTAAGAAGCATCTTGCTTACTGACATGAAGCCATGCGCCCAGTGAGAGCATGGGCGAGACCTCATTGGCTTAGAGGAAGGGGCCCCTGGAGGGCAGGCACACAGTGCCCAACTGGCCAGCCAAGGCTGGCATCCCAGGGACGGGGTGGAGGTGGGGGGCCTTGCACAGGGCCCCCAGCCCGAGCTTCTGCTCGCCCCCAGCCTCCTTCCCCGCCCTCTGAGAGAAAGAGGGTTTGGGCCTCAGCCACAGACTGACGGCCGTTACTGGCGCATCTGCTTAAAGCTACAGAGATACAATGTGCATCAACAAGGCGATCGCCTCTGACCCGCTCAGACACACAGCTGGGCAGCCATGGGGCCAGAACCAATCCTACAGTATGTTCGGTGTGTGGGTTCCCTCCCTTTTGTTTACCACCCTCCTGCTGTCCAGCCTCCAAGGGCAGCACACCTTGAAGCTGGGAACAGGCCCCTTTACAGCACTAGGCCCTGACCAGACAGCCCCCACCCTCCCGACAGGTGCCCGCTTACTCGTTGGGGTGCTGGGACTTGTAGGACAAGATCTCCGCCGCCAGCTGCTGGGGGTCCAGGAGCTGCGGGAAACGCCCCATCACAGCCTCTACCAGGTGCGGGGGGAAGACGCCGCACAACTTGGTGTACACATTGGCCCGTTCCTTGGCCAGGCTGCCTGCCCCGGCCCACAGACCCCCACCGGGCCCTGGGCTCGGCCCCTGGGGATCCTGCAGGACTGGGGTGGGTGGAGGCAGCGGGTATGGTTCAGACCAGTACTCTCGGGGAGGGAAGGCAGGTGGTGGGGCCGGGTAGTCTGCAGGGACACTGAAGTGGCCAGCACCCATGTCCCGTCCAAAAGCATGGTAGGTCTGAGTGGCCGGCAGCTCGCGTCCATAGTGGTAGCCAGGGTAAGGCCCGCGAGGTAGGCCTGGTTCTCCCAGGCTTGCACCCCGGACTCCCCACAGTTCTGATATCTGGCTCTCTAGGGAGCCGATGCCTGAGTCCAGGCGGTCCTGGGAAGTGTAGGGTAGCGAGTCCAGCGTTTGTGGGAGCCAGTCAGAAGGCCCGAAGCTGCCCGCACTGCCCCCACTTGCTGGGAGGCTCCTGCCTGCTGGGGCAAAGCTCTGTGCTGGCCCCTCACGCCGGGATCCTGGGGAGGCCCGGGTTCCCAGCTTCTTCCCATCCACGCCACTCTGTTCGGCTTCTGTGGGTGCAGAGCTGGGCTGGGGTGATGGTGCAGGGCGCTGGGTACTTTTGTCCTTGCCCGGGGCTCTGAGGGGTGAGAGGAATGCATTGGCACGGAGCTCGTCGGCCACAGAGCGCTGCGGGCGGCTGGGTCGCTCCGGGTGGAAGAAGCGGCACTTGATCCCATAGGTGCACTTTTTGCCTACATGGAGAAAGAAGGGGGCTGTTGAGTGGGGGGCTGCGGGGAGTGCATGGGACCAGGGTCTGGGTTGGGTTGGGGATGGCAGTGGGTGACACAGGAATGCTGTGCTTGGTATGTATGTCTGGGGGGGCGGTCCCCAAGAGGAAGCAAGTGGGGCATAGGCAGGCTCAGGTAAAAGGAAGGGCAGGTGCGGAGCTTGGGGGCTTGAGGGCAGAGCTGGGCCTCATACCATAGGGGCATGGCTGCTTCCTGTGCTCGGAGGGCAGTGGCTTCTTCCGTAGGAAGTTGTCCAGGCTGGGTCCATGTCGGCCCAAAGGGTCATCGGGAGGCATGAACCTGCAAGAGGGCCAGGAGGACTTTCAGGGAGGCGGGGCATGTCCAGCTGCCGGGAAGGGGCTGGGCGATGGGGCTCACTGGGAAGGCCTGCAGATATCTGGCCAGATGTCCAGATCTTGCGCTTGCTGGGGGCGATGGCAGGCAGGTGGGTCACACCAAGGGAGGTAAGGGGCAGCCCCCCAGCCAGGGATTCTCCGAAGGCATCAGAGGCTGCCCCAAGTCCCAGGGTCTCTGCTCAGGGTGGTGAGAGGCCTTCCTGAAATACTAATCCTGTTCTGGTATAAACACTACTGCACCCGCCCCGTGTGGAAAAGTCCCCGGGCAGGCGGACAGCTGTCCCAAGGGCTCCCCAGAGCCCAGCCCTCCCTGCTGGGGCCAGTCCCTGCCCATGAGGGCCGGCGGCTCCTCCTGGGGGATCGTACTTGTCATTGACGAAGGAGTACATAAGCAGCCGCTCCTCAATGAAGCGCTTCCACTCCTGGCGCTCTCCCTGCAGGTCCCGGTAGGTGTCGTTGGAGACCACGATCCCGTCGGACTCGTAGGCCAGTTTCACGATAAAGCGGTCGTCGTAGCACACCACCCGCTTGCCGCCGACCCGCCTCGACGGTGTGAACACCAGGATCTTTTTCTTCTCCAGCTCCCGCAGGATGTGCTGGTCTGGGAGGTGACAGGGTGTGGGGGTCAGGGTCCAGCTGGGACCCAGAGCAGGTTCTAACCTCCTGGTGGCCACGAGTGGTGGGGAGGGGCAGAAAGCAAGTCTGCTGAGGCCACGGCTACACCACCATGCTCCCTGGCTTGGCTCTGCCATGAGCTTGCTGCCGGGAGACGGAGAACATCCGGCCACTGCGAGCTGCAGGCGCCTGGGGGCCAGTGTCCAGGGCACTGAGTTGTTCTTCTCCTTCCCCTCTGGACATTGGACCTGTCCCAGCCAGACATGGTCTTGGCTGTCTGTCCATTCTGTCCTTGGGGGTTTGTGAATGAGGCTGGGCTCACGCTCTGCCCCTTACGTGGCCAGGACGGAGGTTTCCAGCTCACTTTGGGAAGCTGCTGTTCCAGCAGGCTGAGATCTCGCAGCCTCTAGCGAGATGGACTCACTTGTCCAAGGAGCCAGGTGACAGCTGGCATATGAGCAGTCCTGACCAGTGCCAGGCGTCCTGAGTGCATCACGTGAGGCCTTAACCCCAGACTCCTGACCCTAGCCCATTCTACAGATGAGAAATGAGAGGCTCAAGGCTAACACAGGCCTTTCCCCAGGGCGCAGAGGCAGCCAGGGTGGGACACAGCCAGGATTCCAACTCTGCTGGTCTCAGCCCTAGCACCATGTTCTGCTCTGTGCCACTGAGGCTGGTAAAGGGGTGCCCGCCCACTAGGAGGAAGAAGGAAGCACCCAGTCCCCGAGGCAAAAGACTGGACAACGTGACTGCCTGCCAATGGCTGCTTGTTCAGAGCACGACTGCCGAGGCCAGCAGAACCCAGGGACAGACTCCTACCTGGAGTCAACCAGGTGCCAGGCGCAGCCACGGGGGAAGGACCAGGGCTCTCGGGGCTCCACTCAGCTCACCTGTGATGGGTACATCAGGCCGAGGCTGCTCTTTCCTCCAGGACGGTACAAACACAGTGACGTCTGCGTGACCCCGCTCCAGAAACCAGTTCACGGCCAGCAGGATGCCCCGGCAGGAGAACACCTCCTTGTTTCCATGGCTGGGAAGAGAGGAAGGACAGGTCAGCCTGGGCAGGCTGGGGAGTGGATCACCCACTAGTCCCTGCCTAACCCACTATGCTAGGGGTAGGGTGTGGGAAAGGCTGGCTCAAAGCCTCCATTGCCAGCACTGCTTCCCGGCAGGTCCCAGGCAGCCTGGAGACTCCCCGCCCCCACCTCCCCAGCCAGATCCCATTTCCTTGAAATTGAGGACACACCCAGCACAGCTCCCCATGTTGAGGCGGGTGGGAGCTGGAGGGTCAGGCCCCCTTGCAACACACCTGGGGGTGGGGGAAAAGGCAAGTGAGCAGATTGCTGGTTCCTGCCCCGCCCAGCAGCTGCTGGGACCACAGGACACAGATGTACACAGCGCACTGAGTCACCAGCCCTCCCTTGGCCCAGTAGTGCCGCCCGCCTGCCCGCCCGCGTGCCGAAGGGGTGGGGGAAACACCAGCCCCAGCCTAGAGAGACCAGGCTGTTCCGGATTAAAGTTCAGTTCCTGCACTAAGCCTCCAGGGGCTGGGACCCCCAAGGAGGGCGAAGGAAAAGGAGCCACCCTGCTCCTGGCTCCGTTCACCACAGGACAGGAAGTGAGGAAGTGACTGGGGGGGGGCAGGAGACTAATGAAAGTGAAAGAACAGTGGACACTACTTTTTCCCCCCAACGCCAGAGAGGAGGGTGTGACTGAGGAAGGGATACTGGGTGGTTGCTGCCACCTCCGGGAATGCTGCCAGTAAGCAGCGCTGGGAGCCAGAGCATCCTCCCTGCCCAGGCTGGTCTGCCTGACCAACCATGGCCAGGCCCCAGATCACAGCTCCCCTGCCTGCAAGACTGCTCAGCGTCCATCCCAGGGGGCCATGGCAGCATCGGTTTGCCTGCTGGCTCAGTGCAAAGTCGAGGAGATTCTCGTCTAGAGTTTTGGGACTGGGCCTAGAGGTTCCCAGGGGAACACTGGGCATCATTGGAAGGCGCTCCCTTCCCGTAGCCCTTTGCCTCTTGCTGCCCCTCTGAGCAAGCACCTCAGAGTTTCAGATTTGGCAAATACAACAGGACAGATGTTACGCAAAAGGGGCAAGTCCAGGGCCGACCACATCCTGTGCGTGACTTTAGGGGGGGGTGGAGGGGCTGGTTGGCTGGTAGCTGGAGCCCCAGGAGAAGGCAGACAGGGTGGTGAGGGGGCATAGCGGCTGTTGGGGAGTTTTGTTCTGACCTGCAGCGTCTGCGACGGGCACCAAGCCCAGCCCTGGAGCAGCACCCGGCCCTTGCTGACCCAGGGCTGGCTCACAGTCTCCTGGGCTAGGAACCTGGTGGTTCTGAATGAGGGTACCCTCACTGGCAGCCCCCTTTCCCGGGAAGCACATGGTGGCTCAGAGAGGGGAATGTGGTCATGGTGAGGAGTCATGCCATGGTGACGGAGCAATGCTAAGTGTGTGTGTGCTCTCAAGCATCACATGGGTGGTGGCCTGGGTGGGACTGAGCCTGGTCTAGGGGAAGAAGGGGGGGGGGTCCTGGGTGGGGAGCTCAGCTAGGGACCAAAGGCACCACTGCCCTCCCACCCCCAAACATGGCTTGCTGAGGTGAAGGCCATGAGGGCCCTGTGACTCACCCAGCGTCACCTGGCTAGTGGTAAGAGACGAGTGGGATTGGAAAGCAAGCCTGAAGCCACTAGAACGCTTTCCTGTCTCTCACTGAACACCCAGGGCTGATGTGGTAGAAAACACACACACACACACAACCCCTCCCCAACGCAAGTGTGAACCAAGTGGGTTAAGAGGGAGGGGCAGAACAGGAAGAAATGATGTTCTGGTGAATTTGCACTCTTCCTGCAGGACCCACGTGAAATGTCACTGCCTCTTGGACGCCTTCTGGGGTTGCTCATTGATGCCCGGAACTCTGCCTGCCCCACACCTGCTCTGGGCCTTCTCCCTGGCCTCCCCTCTCCGGCCTGGCTCCCTGTCTGAGGTATGCAGTCTGCACCTGCCTCCTCCTGTCCACACACATGAACACGCAGGGGTCCCGTGCGAGGCCAGTGGCATCTCCAAGCCTTGGGACTCCCTGGGATGCCTGAACTCAGTGTCTTGAAAACCTTGGCTGAGGCTGAGGCTGCTCTCTGTGGCCCTGGCTTCCAGAATGTTCCCTCAGCAAGCAGGCATGGCAGAGCCAGAAGCAGAACACACAAGGCCCAGAGTGCCTCCCTACAGCTAACTTGATGTCCCTCTTGCTGCAATGGAGAAAGTTCTAGTGGCACAGGAAAACCGGACTTCCTCTCACCGCCCCCTCCCCCCCCAGCTCCAGCGGCCCCTCCAGAGGGCACAGAGGGTCAGGGTCCCCCTGCCAGCTGGGCTGGCCAGATAGAATGTATTTGCTATAGACTCCAGATCAGCTGCTCCCCCGCCCCAGGACAGAGGGCAGGGCTGGGCCAGGCTCCCCAGGTGACAAGATCTGCCCAAGCCCGGCTTGTTGAGTGGAAAAAAAATTCCCTTAGAAGGAAACAGAGGTGAATTTCCCCACGATTTGCATATGGCAGGGGCTAGCCCGCCCCTGGCGGGAGGGGGCGGCAGGGCAGGAACCCAGTAGCAGCTGAGACAGGAAGTCAGAGGCTGGAATTCCCCTCCTGCCAGCGCTGGCCCAGCTCAGAAACCCCCCGTGGCCAGGCGGGCTCGGCGTGGCTCTGCCTCTCAGAGGGCTGATGTCCCCCACCACCGCCCCTCCTCTCGTGGGGACACACACACACACTGCTCCTGGTGGCCCCCTGACTTGGCCACTTTCGGCCCATGCCCCTCTCCAGGGCCAGGAGTCCCCGGAGGACACCTAAGCCTCCACCCCAGCTTGGAGGGACAGCTCTCCCCTGCCTCTCAGCCTGTGGTCAAGATGGGAACACAGACCCAGAAGGTCGGAAGAAGAGTTCACCTGGCCTGCTGGGAAAGGGGTAGGGTTGTATGGGGCAGGCAGGCCCAGAGCTGACTTGCCCCTCGTTGAGCCAGGGGTGGGCGGGGCCAAATGCCAGGTGAGGACAGAGGCTGACGTCAGGCATGGCAAGCAGCCCACCTGGGAGATCCCTCTGGGTGGCGGGGAAGTGCCTGGGGTCTCCCTGTCAATGCCTCCAGGAACTTTTCCTCCTCCGGAGTGACCCACCCAACCCTGACTCACAGCCCACCTAGAGGTTGGGGTTGGGGGAGAAAGCTGGCCTGGAGGGTGGGGCCTGGCTTCAAGGGAGAAACCAGGGCTCTCTAAAGCCAAGCAGCGGCCTTAACCCTGTACCCACCCTGTGAGAGCCCTTGGGGAGACAGAGGGGCAGTCATGGGGCCTCATGCCATTGTGCAGGCAACTGCCCCCCCCACCAGTTCCATGAGAGCCAGAGCCAGCTGTGAGGTCACTCCCCTCCCCCGGTCATAGCAGACCTCAAGAGCCCCAGCCCCCCAAAGGATGACAAGGACCTTATCCGGGCACCTCCTTGGACACTGGCCACTGGCTGATCCTCACATGCTCTGTGCCAAGGGTGGGTCAACCCTCTCACAGGTAACAAAGCTAAGTTCCCTGGTGGGTGGCAGCCAGTTCCAGGCCAGTCCCCTGCAAGATCTGACCTCCACCGCAGTGAGGGGGTCTGAGGCTGTGTGCTCCTGCTGGCCTCACACACAGACCCACCCACTGCATATAGCCCCCCACGTGCCCCTGGAGGCCGCAGGATCTGTATTGGAACACTTGTGCCACCACCTCCAGGCAGGTTGAGTATACCAGGATTGCAGCCCCACTTCCAAGATGTCCCGAGCTGTCAGGTGGGGGGCCTCCTGGCATGGGGAGGCAGGGTCATGGAGGGCAGAGGTCAAGCTCTGGTCCCCAAGGCAGAGCTGTGCAGCAGCTGAAACAAGTGGTACCAATGCACACGCCTCAGCCACAGAAGTGCCACCTACCTCATGGCCACATTGCTTCCGTCAATGACCACCGGCCTCAGGTCGCCGCCCTCCCTGTCGTCCTCTGGGAGTGAGGGTTCCAGGCTGGGCGTCTTGGGGGTGCCCCCGCCGCGGGGCACCAAGGGGAGCTGAGAGCAGCGGTCAGGTGAGGCCTGGCGCTCCCGCTCGGTGGCCGAACCATGCTTCACCAGCTCGCCCAGCACCGTGTTCGTGTCTGCCTGCAGACCCAGCTTCTGCAACACGCTGTGGATCTCCGAGGAGGAATAGCCCAGCTTCCGAAAGAAGTCCACCTTCATCTGCAGCTCCAAAGTCGCTGCCTCCTGGGTGCAGGGCTCTGGAGTCGTCCCTGGGGTGTCCCGGCAGCTGTGGCTGTCCTCCAGTGCCCACAGACTCATGGTGGGGCTGGCTTGCGGGCTGGGGGTCTCTCCACAGGAGCTGCTCATAGCTCAGCCTCCTGCAAGACGGCCGTGACAGCTGCTGCGGGGCAGGGTGGTGGGGGGGGACAGGCATGAGGGTTAGCAAAGGGAGCCGCCTGCCCTGTCATCCTCTCTCTCCTACCCGCCCCACCCACCAGGATGAGGCAACCCTGGACTGGTGGCGCTAGGCAAGGCCACGGTCACGCGTCAGCTCTGGAAAGCTCTCCCAGTGAGAATAGGGTAAACTGAGGCACCGACAATCAGAAAGCGCTCAAGGTCACCCAGCTGTTAGCTGGTGGCCCAAAGACTGGAATTCAATCTCTTTAATTCCGCCCCCTACCCCCAACCCCAACCCAGGGATCCAGAAGGCAGGGGCGGGGCACTCTGGGTGGAAAACCGGGCTCAGACGGGCACCAGGGGCCGGGGGCTTCCCCCTGCGACGAGGCGGCCTTCCCGGCACTCTAGGGCCAGGCCCAGGCGGCGCAGGACTCAGACCGACTCCCAGGCCCGGGCAGGCTAAGTTTCCGGGGTGATCGACTAGGAAGAAAAGTTTCCGGGAAACTCTGGTCGGCTGCCGGGCGCCGGCGACGCGGGGGCTGTCCCGGCTTACAGGCCCGTGCTCCTGCGGCCTCCCCTCCCGACCTCGACCCCTTGCCTCGCCCCCGACTCCGCACCGTGGGCTCAGTGGAAGGGGTCCTGAGCACCAGCGAGCGAGGGGGGTGCCCATCCCAGGGCTCTGCCTTCGGTCCCACCCGGCCGGAGCCCAGCCGGGACCCGCAGCCCGCGCCCCTCCCGCCGCGCTCACCCAGCCGCGCGCCGCCCGCAGCCGGCGGCGTCTCCATGGGGCCGAGTCCCAGGGGCAAGGCCGGCAACGCCTTTATACGGAGCGTCGGCAGGCAGGTGGCGTTAAGCAGGGTGACGCGGAAGCCGGGCAGGGCCACCGCCCCTTCCTGCTCCTCCCCGCGCGCCGCCCCGCCCCGGGCCCCGGCCCCGCCCCCGCGGCCCGAGAGGCCAGCCTGCTGCCTTCTGCCAGACCCAGGCAGGAAAGTGCGCCCCTGCCTGCGAGGGATCAAGGTCGACGCCGTCGGAGCCAGGCGCTGTCAGGTGGAGGGACTGGTGCGTACAGGGGTCCAGAGTCAACCACGGCCGCCAGCCTTGGCCCCTAAGAACTCCAGGTGCAACCCACTGAGAGCATCAGCTCCGCGCGTTCCCACCCGGGCCACTGCAGGTGCACCTGATGGGGACAGGTCAACAGGTGAATGGAGATGGAGTCAGTAGTGGGTAGGGAGTGACCTGTCCAGGGCAGGGCCACCCAGGTAAGCAGTAAGCACCTTGCCAGGGTAGAAAGCTAAGTATATAACCAGCAGACACACTGTGACCAAGGAACAAATGAGGGATGGGGGGACCCTGGTGATGATCATGTGGTTCTGTTCATGGGATATTGTTACCCATAACCATCTGACTGTCCCTTCACCTTTAGGGTCCCGAATCAACAGGTCACGATCCCTCCCAGGAGCACAACACTTGGCGGCCTTGGGTGAGGACGACAGAGGGGTATTTAGCCGTGTTGCCCTTTGTCCTTCAGAGTTCAATGGCCTCATTGGCTGAAAAGACCTGCTTTGCGCATCAGGCTCCGATTCCTGTGCAGGAGGTAGCGCCTCAGTGGCCGGGGTGCACGGGGCTGGTGGAGGTGGTGAGGGGGTAGGGCAGGTGTACCTGGCTTCCATTTGCATGGGAGGTGACAGAGGGCTCAGGGACGGCAGCTTCTGCAGTGGCACCAGTTCACAGTGCATAGGGGACAGCTGAATCCCTCAGGGCAATATGCTTACTGTGCTGTGTGCTGTGGCGCTGGCGCCTCACTTACCTGTGCCTGTGTCCTGTGTGGTGGGTGAGAGCATGACCGGCAAGGATCGGGAAACCTGGCACAGAGCTGCGCACAGCTTAAAGAGTATGTGTCATTGGGCCCGGCATAGTAGCCTAGCAGCTAAAGTTCTTGCCTAGGGCCCAGTGCGGGTGACCTAGTGGCAAAGGTCCTCGCCTTGAACGCACCAGGATCCCATATGGGTGCCAGTTCTAATCCCAGCAGCTCCACTTTCCATCCAGCTCCCTGCCTGTGGCCTGGGAAAGCAGTCATGGAAGGCCCAAAGCCTTGAGACACTGCATCCGCGTAGGAGACCTGGAAGAAGTTCCTGGCTCCTGGCTGCAGATTGGGCAGCACTGGCCATTGCACTCACTTGGGGAATGAATCATCGGACGAAAGTTCTTCCTCTCTGTCTCTCCTCTGTATATCTGCCTTTTATCAATTAAAAAAAAAAAAACTTAAAAAAAATTTTTCTTAAAAAAATAAAGTCCTTGCCTAGAACACACCGGGATCACATATGGCCACTGGTTCTAATCCCAGCCACCCTGCTCCTGACTTCAGGCTTTGGATTGGCTCATTGTGGTCATGTGGGGAATGAATCATCAGATGGAGGATCTTCCTTTCTGTCTCTCCTTCTCTCTGTATATCTGACTTTCTGATAAAAATAAATAAATCTTAAGGGCCCAGTGTGATAGCGTAGCAGTTAAAATCTTATCTTGAATGTGCCAGGATCCCACATGGTCGCAGGTTCTAATCCCTGTGGCTTCAGATTGGCTCAGCCCCAGCCTTTGTGGTCACTTAGGGAGTGAACCATCAGACGGAAGATCTTCCGCTCTGTCTCTCCTCCTTTCTGTATATCTGCCTTTCCAATAAAAATAAATAAATCTTAAAAAAAAAAAAAAGAACACACATCATCGGGTAGGCAGCCTGCACCTGACTTAAAACAGACACCGGGCTCCTGGAGGCCCTCTGGGCGTTCCTCTCATCTGAAACTGCCTTCCTGAAGTTTAATTCTAATTGCTCCCTTGCTTTTCTTTTCATGCTACCGCCTGTATGACTCCTTAAAGAGCGTATTGTTTAATTTTTTATTTATGTAAAATGGAGTCATTCTACAATTGTATAACCTTCATTACAAAAAAGATTTGTTTAATGAAAGAATAAGTTACAAAGAGAGAGATCTTTCATTGGCTGGTTCACTTCCCAAGTGGCTGCAACAGCTTTAGCTGAACCAGGAGCCAGCTTCTTCTGGGTCTCCCACGTACATGCAGGGTCCCAAGGCCTTGGGTCATCCTCTGCTGCTTTCCCAGGCCACAAGCAGGGAGTGGGATGGAAAGTAGAGCAACCGGGACTCGAACCAGCACCCATATGGAATGCTGACACTAGCAGGTGGATTAGCGTGCTCTGCCACTCTCCTGCCTCCTGTTCGCTGTACCCCCTGGAGTTTTGAAATTTCCAAGAGTGCTTTGGATGTTCTTATGCGTGTCTCCCGAGCTGAGGTCATGGAGACTCGGAGATGGAAGAAAGTGAAGTGGCTTACTCAGGGGTTGGAATTCCTGCTGCTCTCTGCTCGCTTGTTCCCACTGCACCAGCTTGTCTGGCAAAGCCACGGACGAGCCAGGAAGGAGGTGGGGTGTGTGTCCGTCAGGTCCCGCCGCTCCTCCTTGGAGCCTGCCTGACTCTCACTGGCCACCATGTCCCTGCTTTGAAGCCTGGTTATGTTTGAAGATTCCCAGAATGTCTCCTTTGCTGTGCCTTGTCCCCCTTCCCCCTACGGCAATTCTCGAGGTCTGCACACTGATGATAGAGAGAACACGGGGCCCCTGCCACCTGTCAGCCCCACCCTGAGCCAGCGTGTCACACGCTCTGTGTCCCTCCTGCCGAGCCCCTTGCATGCCGTACCCCTCGGCTTACCAGGGCCCCTTTTATGAGTGAGAAGCACTCAGGAATGCCAGGCACATCCTCACGATAGTAAGTACCTTCAATACGGTAAAAACCCGAGGTGTTAGGTGCAGGTTAATAATAGAGGTAATAGTCCCCCATGGCAACCGTGCCACCCGTTTATGGTGCTGGGCACTGTGCCACCATCTCACAGGTACTTCCAGGCCTTGGCTGCTGCTCAGCCAGGGGTGCCCTTCCCTGCCTCCTGATGGCTGCCTGACTGATGCCATTCATCTTTGAGATGATGTCACCTCCTGGGGGGGGGGGCTCCTTGCTGCTCCTGACAGCCCCCAGCCAGTGACCCTGTATGCTGAATTGTCACTGCCAGCCTAGATCCAGTCCTCTGAGGCTGGGACCAGATGAGGACTCCTCCCTGGGCTCCCAGGCTTGGTGTTGTCCAGGCCTGGTCCAGTGGGAACCGACGGGACTGGGCAGTGAGTCAGGTAGCTCCCCACCGCAGTCTTGTTCTCTTCCGGCTCCTTTCAGCGACTTCTTCTCTGGATGCCAACTCTCTTCTGGCGGTGCCGGGGAACCCCTGCTCTACTGACTGCAGGGGTTATGCAACCGTTGGCTCGGATCCCTGTGGATCGAATGGTGTCAAGCCCATTCCTACCCCTCCGCCTGTTGCACGCCCTTCTTGGCAGATGCACTTGCCAACTTCCTTTCTGAGCCTGCCTGCCCTCTGGCCACCTGCCTGTGCCCAGCCACACCTACCAAGTTCCTGGACTGGTCACCTCCCAGGGTGAGTGTGAGGCTGCAGAGGGAAAGGTCCCAGGAGTGACCTTGTCCTTCGCTTGTCCCTTTAGTAGCTCAGCCTGGGGAGGACTCAGGAGCAGAACTGCTGCCCTCAGGTGATGCTGCAAAGGTGATGCTGAATTCACTAGGAGAAAGAACCAGAATCCTGCTACATTTAGAGGCCCTTGGAGTTTTCCAGTAGGATGTGTCACAGTGGGACACCGCATATCAGCACGTATTTCAAAGTCAGCCAAGGGACCAGCGTTGGGCCATTAGTGGGTTAAGCTGCCCCTATGAGGCCTGACTCCCTTATGGGAACTGGTTGAATTCTAGCTGCTCCACTTCTAATCTAGCTCTTGGCTAATGGCCTGGGGAAAATCCGTGAAATAGATGGTCCAGGAGGGGCCCAGCATGATGGCTTGACTGACTAATCCTATTAGTGGGTGAATCAGCAGCAACAGCCAGGGCTGGACCATGCCAAAGCCAGGAGCCAGGAGCGTCTTCCAGGTCTCCCTCCAGGGTGCAGGTGGCCAAGCACTTGGACCTTCCTCTGCTGCTTTTCTCAGTCTATTAGCAGGGAGCTGGATTGGAATAGGAACAGCTAGGACATGAACCAACACCCATATGGGATGCCAGTAGCACAAGTGACAGTTTTACCTGCAAACCTGGCTTTGAGGACTTATTTTAAATATGCATGTATAAATTTAAAAATTTCATTGGATAAATAGCTTATGGTGGGGCTGGGACAGGGATAGGATGAGCTGGAGTATCCTATGGTGTGGACAGGGCAGAGGGAGCCAGGGCCTGTAAGAGCTGGAAAGGGACAACAGTAGAGCAACATGGACAGGGGAGTAAAGGTCGGCCGACTGGGCTACCAGCCAGTGTGAAATAAATGCCTGTGAGTTCCTGCTGGCATAAAGAAATGATTGAATAAAAACTGAGAGAAGAACTGATTATTCCTTCTTATATAATTCCCCATCATGGGCTTGGCCTAATGGCTCTGTGGGCTCATCTTCCCTTTGCAAGTGCCAGGGTCCTATATGAGTGCAGGTTCATGTCCCAGCTGCTCCATTTCCCATCTAGCTCCCTGCTTGCAGCCTGGGAAAGCAGTCGAGGACGGCCCAAAGCCTTGGGACCCTGCACCCACGTGGGAGACCCAGAAGAAACTCCTGGCTCCTGATTTTCGGATCAGCTCGGCTCTGGCCATTGTGGCCATTTGAGGAGTGAACCGGCAAATGAAAAGCAGTTATGGCAGGGAAGTGAGGTGTGGGAGAGACAGAAAAATCTTCCTTCTGTTGGTTCTTTCCCCAGATGGCCACAATGAAGCTGAACTTGTCCAAAAGCCCGGAGCCAGGAACTTCTTGAG